TATATATATATATATATATATATATATAAACGTAAACTATGTAGATACGTATATCAATTTGTGCATATATATACTGATAGATATGCAATATGCACGCAACTCCAGTGAATGTAATAACCCACCCGAGAAGGCCGCACGGATTTTGGGGGTTGGCGCCGCAGAGGACCCACTCCCCAGGGCTGTCAACGGCGCAGGCGCTCCTGTAGTGAGCCAGAATACGGCTACTAATGTTTCAAATAAGAGAGGAGAAGTGCTTCTTCCGACTACACAAACACTTTGATTACAGTGAAGTACTCCGCAGGAAGGTTCCACGCCCTCTTGTCGATAAAGTGGTAAGGGTACATCAAACGTATGTATCCACCAACGAGCACACATGCATACACATGCCAGTTACTACATGCACTCATGCCACATGCATATACAATTACGCACATGTTGCTGCTGCCTCCACAAGTACGCTATATTTCAGCGTCGTGAGAAATACAAAACTGTGAACTGGGACACCAGTGCAAACAGCACCAACGAAGTGTTGTGGATATCATTCCAACGCTCCATCACTGTGACGACCCGAGGAATCAACGAAAAAAGGTGATCTGTTGGACATGAGACGTGAAAACGTTGTGGCATGCAATCATAAACTAGCAGCATCATAAGCGCAACTGCCAGTTGCACGCTTTACGGAGCAACTGACTCCGACCTGAGCAAGTCGAAAGCCGCTTCAGCTTCTCTATTGACAATTCGGTGGACACTTTTGATTTCAATGCTTTTAAATCCGAAATCGAAGAAATCCTGGGGGTTGAAGGATCGCATTAGACAATCTTCAGCTCGGCGATACCTGAAGAGAAACTAACGGAGCTGTAAACCTCTAACTCTGAACTTGGTGACTCCGGATAAACTCAAACATACATTGGTGGATCTGCATAAAGACAGACATATAAGAAGCCTCTTGCACTTGTATCATGCTCAGCATTTGCTGGCGTCCGAGAGCAAACCATACGAGGAATGCACGACAAAACCCGGTGCAAAACGTAAGCGTCTGCTTACTTTATGAAATGAAATTCACTTCATTATGAATTGACGTGCAGCGTTTTACATTAACACAAAGTGAAAAACAACATACACATGTATAATATGATATGGAACACACCGTATACATTTACACTGCTGGGACCTGGATGTATATGACGAATAAAATTAATCTTTCGAAGCTACCAGAGGCCACTAAAAGGAGGGCAACCTGCATTTGCAGTGAAAACAGCAAGTGCAGTTTGATAACGTTCCGAAGTTGATAAACTAGCCACACGGGGAGGTGGTGCAGTTGACTAGCGAAGAGCTGACCAGGTCTTACTGGGGTCCCCCAGCTCGAAATGTATATTGCCAAACCGATCCAACTCTTTCCTGCGAGTGCTAAGAATTGCCTCTCTTCGTTTCCGCACTTCAGCCGCCAGCCATCGAAAAAAAGACGCACCTCCACACAGTTCCCCTCGCGCCACAACTAGGGCCTAAAATCCACTCCACAGTAACTGTAAACGCGAACCTCCCAAATGTAAACTCGTAACCATATACCCTGGTACAGTTAGAGGCTAGCACACAATATCCAACTGTACGTACAAGTACGCACGAATACGATTTATATTATCCGAACAGCACGGGAGAACCTTGAGCGCACTATTTCTGAGTTCAGGCGTCTCTTGCGGTCGTTACAGAGACGCCTAAAACGAGAGCAAGAATCCGAGTACATCACGAGTGGTGGAAAATGCAGATACATTATTGATAACAATAACGGTTGGCACAAGGAAATTTCCAAAAACACACTGTTGATAACATGATGATGGTTGACTATACTCTAAAAATTGTGTCCTTTCGAGAGCTTGTGTTGCAGTTGTAATATAGGAAATTTCCATGAGTATAGACCGCAGCTTGTGTAGGGCGCACAGCGAATTTTCTATTATCCTTGATTGCCACTCTGAACTGTCCATGAAGCTTATCTAATTCCTTGATGGCGTCTCTTGCTTCTCGCCGTGTCTTTTGTTGCTCCAGTAAATAATAGAGCCTTTTGCGCTGATATGTTGCTGCAACAAATGCGGAGTCGCCGGCATCCAGCACCGTTTGGTTCAGAGCCTAACGGACAAAGGCGCACAAATAGGAGCCGATTATTAGACCACGGTTTTCGCTCGTCCTACTCTCAGTTGGTCTCTGTGTATGGCTAGAACGTTTTAGGCCAAAGGCAACTCAAACAGAGTGGGAGATGCTTAGCTGCCCTCGGTGCAGCTATGCCTGCTTCGTTTCATGTACTTGAGTCGGGCCATTGCAACTTGTCAATGCAAGCCCTGCGTGTTTTAAAAAGTAAACGATTGCTCTTCTACCTTTAGTTTTCAAGAAGCTAAGTTCGAATGTACCATTGATGCAACTGCCCTGAGTTGAATCCTTTGCACATTTAGAAGGAGCGCTGGTAAAATCGTTCTGTACTCTGGCATGACTTCATGCATGCGCCTTGGGACGCAGCGAGTTAGGTGCTGGAAATACAGCTGCAGACTGCAAGGGCTCACCGTACCTTTAGCATTGGGAGGTGGTAAAGAGCGAACATTTCGTGGTTTTTCAGTCTGCAAATGGGGTTTTGTTTCGACAAGAAATGCACGTCAGAGAATAGAAGAGACTCGAGTCGGGGTAACTGGGAGAGCAGGGTCACTTCGTGGAGAGACCAAATACTGAAAAGCAATGTAAACAAAAAAGTTGGATTATGCATGCACTGCTCAGGTGCATTGCGCCACCATGTCGCATCATCCTGCCACTAGGCAACGACAGTCAGGAACACGAGAGACCAACGGTGGCGCCTGAACGTGCAGAATCGCTCCTTTGGAGCGACGAAGTAGGCGAGAAAATACGTGTATGCATAACATATGTGAAAGCCCACTCATTTTTCTACTGAAGACGAATGCACATACTAGTGTACATATAGCATGCATTTGCATTCGTATGGATTAACCCATGTGCATATTGGTACATATTATATGAGCAGTCTGCGTACACTACTTGTACAGCGATGTATGGATGAATTTATATTCCCACAGGCAGTGTACCCTGAGGGCTTTTGATTAGTGTCCAGTTTGTAACTTCGCGTCATACAATGCCAGGGCTTACTGGTTCGCCGCGACGTTCAGTTGTTCAAGGTTCCTGTTGTTAGTGAGGGCTGCCCCAACATGCGTCAGTTCGTTGTCGGCCACCTGCAACACCCGCAGGCTTACGAGGCCCTCAAGGCCCCGGAGGCTCCGCAGCCGGTTACTGTTCAGTCGAAGCGTGTGCAACCTCTGCAGCGCTTCCAGAGGACCTTGAGGAGTCCCTCGGGAAGCCTGCTCTTCAGGGGATCGCTGCAGGCCCCCCTCAATGGTTCCCGTAAGGGCCCCTCTCTGCGCAGGTGGGGGCATTGCAAGGACGCTCAAGTCTGCAATGCGGTTGCCAGTCAGATCTACCTCTTCTAGAAATTTGCAGTTCTGAATTCCTTAAGCCAGTCACAGCAGATGCACCCGCCGCAGTCCCACATATAGTCTTCAATGGGGAAAACGCCAACTAGCATTTAAATGAGTAGATGGGACAAAAAAGGTACTTTGCATCTCTCACAGCACACACATAAGGAAATACTAGTAGAACATGGTCCCCTTCTGCTCAGCATACAAGTGATTAGTGCTGCGCTCCTACGAATGCAGCCTGCGTGACTGTCTTCCTTTCTGCATTAATTATCCGATATCGGAGCGTTTTGACTTCAGGTACCTTCAAGGCTCTCGATTTGGTTCTCGGGAAGATGTAGCACCTGCAGATTTTTGCAAGCTGCAACGAAGCCGAGGGAGGTAATCTGCTGCTGCACTAGCCGCAGCTGTCGCAGGCAGCCGAAGGTCCCCAAAGCGCTCAGGGTTTTCGGCCCTAAAGGCCTGTCCATTATTAGCTCAATTGTGTCGACAAGGTTGGCTTCCGACGAGTCACGGATGCCCGTCACAGAATACAGCCATGAAAGATCAGCAGAGATGCTGCAGCAATAGCAGCACCACCAGTGGAGGGGGCAACGGGAGCAGAATAAGCAACAGCATCAAAAGCAGCACAAGGACAAAGCTACCAGATTTTCCCGTGACTGTAGGAAATCTGAGCTGCGTTACCTGCAAAAGAACCTTACTCCCCGGGTGGTCAAATCGAGCCAGTTGTTGCAGAAGCAGCAGCAGCTCGTTTTGCAGCAACAGCGGCAAAGTAAGGTTGCAACAACCCCCTACGTACCAACAGATGTTTTCCTATTCGTCTGTTCCCTCTGGGGTAGCTGCCTGTACTCTTGAGTACTGCCGTGCTTTTATTCACGTACTCTTCTGTAGAGGCAACTGATGCGGAAGTGCCGCCGTTCAGGGTCCCCACTGTCCTCACTCGTGTCCCCGCAGCTGTCTTCTTGAGGCTCCTTTCGTCATCGCTGTTGTTGGGGCTGCAATCAGGGGACTCGGCGCCGTCGTCTTTAACTGGGTCCTGCCGGCCACCAGAGGGGGCCCCTAGTGCAGACAAAACCCTTAGAGCTGCAACCCCTGAAGCAGCGACCCTACGGGGAGGACCGTGGCCCCTGAAGCCCTGCATTTTTCGCCAGCCTACACAGCAGGCTGATGAGGAAGTATGGGGTTTCCTTAGAGTAATGTCCTCACGTTCTCCATCCATGTCCTCACATTTCCCCTCCTTGACGCTTGCTGCTGGTCCCATCGTATCTGCGGCTCTCAAGCTGCTCGCTACTACTGTGTCTGAGGCGCTAATAGCCTCTCCCATTTTACCGGAACACGACCCACGGAAGGGCTTATGCGGATCTAGAGGCGCAGCGCCGCTGCTCGGGTTGCAGAGGCAGCTGGAACTGCTGCTGTTCGCGGTGCTGTTTTTGGTGTTGTTGTTGGTATTGCTGTTACGGTTGTTTCTGCTGCTGCAGATTTTGGCTTCGCCAGAACACACTAGGCCTCCGTATATGCCTCCGGGTCTGTGATGTAGAGGGTCGGAGGTTTCTTCGCATTTGGTGACACTGCTGCCACTGCTACTACTACTAGTGCAGCTGTATATCCGACACTGGCCGGCGCTGTTGCTGATATGGGGGCTACAGCTACTGCTACGCCTGCCCTTCCTTACAGGCAACAGCTGCCCTTCATCCCCCTCCGAAACTCGAACCACCTCAAGGGTGTCAGGGGCATTTGGATCTCCGTGGGTCATCGGATGGTGTTTCCCGGGTTCGCCAATGGGGATAGGCGGCCTAGGGGCCTCTACAGACATAGCAGCTGGAGGTGGCGCAAGGGGCCTCATAACTCGTGGGAAAGGCCTGGTCTCGGCGTCGTCTCTTCTTGCTGTGAGCTGCTCACGGTGCAGTGAGGAGACAGTGTAAATGTCGGACACTCTATCGAGGATTGGTAGCCTATACGTTATGCCTGAGACAGAGAAACTACTGCTATGGTGACTGTTGCTGCTGCTGGTGCCGTTGCCTTTGCTAGTGCTATCATAGCTGCATAAGTCCATCTTAAGAGTACAGGAACCGCGGTTGCTGCTGTAGCTGCAGCTGCCACTGGTGCTGGTGTGATTGCTACAACATGTAGGGCCTGCGGCTCCATGGAGGCCTTGAATGCTTAATTGGTGCTTCAAGACCTCCTCTGGTGGATCTTGAGGAGGCTTCGCATGCTCAAGGTTGATGTATGCCTCCTTTCCTACGTCAACAAAAGCATCGTTGATCTGCCGTGATTCTTGTTTAGGCTCCTTCCACAGCGGTCTTCTTGAGACTTCAACGCTACCTGCCTTTTTTCGCCGCAAGCCCTCGATTCCCGGACCCTCAGGTATTTGCCTTGGACTAATGCGAAGCAGTGGCCTTTTTGTCTCGTCTTTGGTAGCAATGAAAGAACCCGCTGCAGATGCAGAAAATACCGACGGCAGCGCGTGCCCCTCAATTGGTGCAACAGGTGCTGCAGCTGTCCCTGCAGTTGCTGCAGCTGTTCCAGGGTCTCCTCTGCCTCCTTCGTCTCCTTCGTAGGGACGAAAGTAGCAGTTTTTGGTGCTTTCGTGCTGCGACTGTTCTGTTGCCGATCGCTGTGAAGCGTCATCGTTTCCCCGGGGGCCGCCAGACGCTCGAGAGCCGTCAGCCCTGCTGCTGCAAGTCCGCTGCGGCAGATGCAAAATGACATTGCTGCTGTAGTTGTAGTTGCTGGTGCTGTCGTTGCCGTTGCCGTTGCAGGGGCTGCTGTGGGTGGGATCATCGCTGACCCCCATAAGCGGCTGCTTTGAACTGAAACATCCTAAGCCGGAAACACACGCCGGCTGAGAGGCCTGTCTCTGGGGAGCCCGGCGTCTTCTTCTATCCTGCATGCCTTTAGAGCATAAAGATCCACTTGTGTTGCTGCGAGCTGCGGTTTCTGCAGTGTTGCTGCTACAAGGAGCAATGCATTCGTAATTACCCCTGCTGCTGCTGCTGTTGCTGTTTTCCTGCGGTTGTCCAGGTTGGCAGCCCAAAGCCACAGCCAGCGGGGTTTCCTGAGAAGCGCGGCCACCGCTAGACCATTCAGACTGCAGCGGTTTGCTGGCAGTGCGAATTCCTAAGTGATTCCCCAGGGAGCCTGAAAAAACCCCTTTTACGCATACAGCGGCCCCAGGCCGAAGATGTGGGCTCCTCAGATTCCGGCGCATTGTATAGACAAAAGGTAACTGAATCGCTCTGCACTCCTTGGGGGCCCCACGGGCCCCCTTTTAAGCCCAAATAAACCAACGCTGCCTGCACAGGCTTCCTGTGCTTTTTTTGTACTGTGCTTTCTATTCGCATATCTGGGCCAACACTCACATCTTATGACAGCGTACTTTGACAGTTTAATTTGTGAGTCTATAGTTTGACGGATCCGTAGTTCATTTGGCATTTGTTGCTCTCGTTTGCCTGCATGCGGCGCCAGCGGTTCAGAATGGCGGGGGCCAGGCGTGCCAGGACGGCTTCCTCGAGTGTTATGAGACTCGAGAACATCAACGCTTCCATACACATTAGAAATAAAAAAGATTGATTATACTTAGAAAAGCAGCAAAATGACTTCAGCTGCAGCAGCTGAGGTGTTCAATGTTTCCGTTGGGTGACCTGCAACGACCGCGCTGACGGCCTGATCTAAAAGGAGCGGAAATGCAGACAAACGAATCAGAGGTTAATTAAAAACAAGCTAGTTTCAACGACAAAGGAAACAAAACTAGAAGGAATCGAAATTCACGTGAAGAACACCAAACGAGAGCTATTGCCACCCCCTCCCGTCACGGACCGCCAACTAGCCCGCCAACTCAGTAGGGAAAATTTTAACTCCAACAAATGCACTACTAAAATGACTAGTTGCAGTTTGTTGCAAAATAGCAATAAAAGGCCTTCTCGCTTCACACGCGATGCCATTGCCAGCGCTAAAGAGAGCGATGCTCAGGTACCCAAGGGGTTGCCAGTGCATATAACAAACAGCTTAGAAACAGTCGTTTTGAGGAAGAAAAAAAAAACAATTAAGTGACTATTTCACCGCAGGTGCTATCCCTAAACAAACCAAACAGATTTTCTTCCGTCCCTAAATCCTCGTAAGCAGAGAAGTTCAGCTGACCACTCAAGTAACAACGTAACCTCGAACACTGAACGCGAAAACCTAATACGGACATGGAAGCAACCATAGCCTCCATTTCCATCGCCCTGTGCAATCTGGTATTTTTTGACTCACACAAATAGAAGCAGGAACACTGCATGCTGAACCGTATGGCATAGGAGTGAACGTGCTGACTTGCGTCGAGACCCTCTGAGTATAAGCGGTAGCAACTACAGAGAACGCAAATGTACCTAAATACAAAGGTAAGCGTGCATGATTGTAAACATTTCCCTACTTATTCGAGCTTATGCATTGCATCTAAAAATGTCCATGCGTTCGCCTAATGAAGGGTATAGGCCTCTCCCCTCGAGCCATGGGCGCAACTAACAGGAGATGATGCACGCTTTGGAGCTCAAGGAGTCTGCGTGCTGCATAAACGAAGTCGGAGAGCTGTGAAACACATCTGCTTGAAGCCCCATATACATGAGCCCAAAGAATGTGCAGAAGAATTCCTGTACAGCCATTGTTGCCTTTCTTTTTTCGAAACACATCTGCAGAAGACAAGCCTTTCACCCAACCACTTCCAGCAGTTGCTATATAAGTGTTTTTCCACTTATAACACTGTAATTCTGCATTGACAAGGTGACAAGTTGACAAGGGTAAGCCATAAAGCCTTGATTTCCTTAACGCGTGCCGCAGTAAGCAAAATTACCGGGGAGCGTCCACAACCTAATACGAACGTTCCGAGGGCTTATTGTTTGGTCTAGACGTTGGGAATGCCTGTGAGGTTTAGGTTTTGGGATCTGAAACAAAAATGTCCTGAGGCATTTACGCTTAGAAAAAAGCACCTCTATGATCTAGGCTTTAGAGTTTGGCGTTCATGGTTTAGGGTTGTTTTTTCTGCTGCAATTTACGCAGCTGCGGGGGCAGCCAACTCCTTAGCAGATTCCAGTCAGCCGCTGCATGCACACATACACACCCAACAGAAAAGTGAGGCAAAAAATTATATTCAGGTTTTTTGAACTAGGTGTTTTGCAGTGACACAACACTATACACCTCATGCACTACACGCTGCGATGTACTGCTGTGCTGCTTCAGCATTCTCGTCACATTTCGTAGACAGGCTCATGTATACCCGGGAATTGCCAATGAACTACTTGTTTCTAGTTCTATGCCCTAGGGCTTGGGTGGGGCGCAAGAGGGTTAGATGAAAAGCTTCACAAAAGATAGTTTAACATTCAGGGCTTAAGTTTTAGAGTTACTGTCTCTAGGGACTCCGTCCTCGTTGCCTGCCTTCCGTTTGTTGCCTTCCCACAAACGACGGCCTGAGAAAACGTTTATAGCAGCAAAAAACCGCATGCATGTAATTGTTAGCCAGTTGCAAATACACTAAATAATACAACATTCAACTACAATTGCGGTGGATTTTCCGATAAAACGTTTCAAACAGCAAAAGTGTGTGCCTGTGGTGAAAACCCGAGCTGCACTCATGAATTTAATAATTTGCCAATCGTACTAGCAGTGAGATGGTGAGGTTGCCCAGAAAAAGGAATTAGACACGTTACATACAACATGTATGTATGCATTATATTTGTTGTGTTGTTACCTGTCGTGCACATAATACACATGTAATACACAGAATACACACAACAGGGTTTTCTGCACCGGGACAAAGAGTTGGGCCTGGCATTCTGCCAATCGGAACACACAAAGCACACTTTCCGGAGCCGGTACAAAACCAGATTCTCGTTGATCTAATTGCCTTAAAATATAATGTGCTACGCAATTGAGCATACATATACAACCTAGTAACACAAATACACGAAGCACTGTGTATGAATTGGCCCTAGACACTGTATGGATCAACAGAGAAGCCGGTCTCACTACTCATTATCACCTGAGTCAATTATCTCTTGCTGCGGCTGCTGCTGTTGTTGTTGCGGTTGCTGTTGCTGAGCTCCACAATCTGGGGACGCCAAATGTCCCGCCCTGCAATGCTGCAGCAGAGAAAGCACCAGCAAGGGATACGAGATTTAGTATGGCAACACTGTTGCTGACTATGCAATACACAGTATAACCGGAATATAGTACTAGACGTCTACGGTAAGTGGCCTATTGAGAATGTAACAAACTGTGATGACAAAATACAGTAATAAAACGCATCACCGCATTGTTGGTGTGATTTTGACAACGTAATGATGCCGATATATGAAATAGGAATCAAAACACATGCTTGGTAAATATGTTATTCTGGGGGACTTCTCTGAAGGTGTAGAAGACGTGAGAGGTTCCAAGTGTATGTGCAGCTGCTGAGGAAGCCGAACCCTTTTTCTGCCGTCTTCTGCACCTATTCACCACAATAATGATAACAATGAAAATAATGTACAATGGCAAATACGGACAGAGGAAGAGTCTCCCCTGGCGATGCTGCTGCTCTCATCGAAAGCAGAGACACATTTTTGATTTAGCAGCTATTGAAACAGTTCATCTGCACCTGGTTTGCGTTAAGCTTCTCTGTTGTACCTGGAGTGTTCGTAGAGTGCATGATGAGCTCAGCAGCAGCAGCCACGAGCTTCTGCTGCTGGCGTTGTTGCTGCAGCTAACCGTAACGCGTGTAGCAGCCTCGATATTTTCTCGCCTTTCGACGCTTTTGACGATGCCACTGCTGCTGCTACAGCTTCTACAGCTGGTACAGCTATTTCTGCTGCTGCTGCCTCTGTTGGTGCCACCGCTGCTGCTGCTGCTGCCGCTGTTGCCATCAGCGCAGCTTACGCAACTATTCCTGCTGCTGGCGCTTAGCCCGTGTTGATGGTACTGGCAGATCTACACACTCGTCTCGACAGGGGCACAAGCTGCATCAGAAGGCACAGCGCCTGCTGGAGGAGCAGCAGTCGCACGAGATGACTTATCTTTACAAGAATTCGAGAGGGGAATACAAACAGCACATTAAAGAAAGACTTTTGAAGACCAACGACCACAGGAACGGCACCACCAGCAACGGCAGCTGCTGCCCCTGCTGCCGCATGCGCGGCACCGAGGGCTGGCCGGTCGGCGGCGCCGAGGGGCACTGGCAGCGCTGTAGTATGCTGCAGCAGCTGCTTCTGCTGCACTACAGCAGATGTCTCTTTCCTATTTACAGGATTTAATGAATCAAGAAAATAGATCCTTCCAAGTAAGGAGTGACAACAACACGCCGAACGTCATCTCCAGCAGCACCTGCTATACATCCACTCGTCGCCGATTGCCAGCTGTAACGTAGCGCTGTGGTCGTCGCCGCCGCCGCTGCAGGAGCTGCCTTTGGCCTGCTTTTATAGCTTCCTGCTTGCTGAAAACAAACAAATAGTACTTAATTTTTGCGGTTTCAGTCGAATCACCGACGACTTCAGCAAGGTAGCGTTGGGGGGAACTGCACTAGCATCAACCGCAGCAGCCGCAGCAGCGGCAGCAGCAGCACCAGCAAGCATCGTCTCCACAAATTGACACAACCTTCGCATGCCAAAGACAAAACATTAAAGGCACAAACTTATTAACACGGCTCAGAACAGCAGTAGAAGACCCAGGAGACGCGCAGGCAATCGCCGGCGCCACAGGCGCCAACCGAGGTGACCGCCGCCGCCACCGCCACAGTAGCCGCAGCAGGGGCTGCAACGAGAACTTCAGCAGCAACAACAACAGTAGCGACAACCAGAGGGGTGCAGCAGTTGCGGAGTCGAAGGCTGCATAATATAGCATGATGGGAGGGGAAAGGGGGGAGTCCGCCACGGCAACCACAGCGTCAGCAGCATCAACAGCAGCAGCAGCAGTAACAGCAGCAACATCAGGAACAAGAGGAGAAGCAGCTTACTGCTTGTGCCTTCCTTGCAGCAATCGAACACGCACACCCCGCGGGGGGTGGCTTGCCCCTGCCTGCGCAGCTACTACGTACGAAATTCGCAGCAGCCACTGCAGGCGTTTTCTAAGCTGCCGCAGCAGCAGCAGCAACAGGGGTTTCAGCAGCAGCAACTCTATTACACAACGGCCTCCCAAACTCGGCAGCACCGAGCCGCAGCTGAGCTGTTACTTGGTCCTGCCGCAGCAGGAGCTGCCTGCACAGCTCCCGACTATCCTGTGTCCTTCTTGCGCTGCTGCTACCTCTTGGAATCGTTGCTTCTGCTGCAGCGTGAAGGAGTCTGCAGTTTCTGGCCTGGGTCTCACAGGCAACCCCAGTGGAAACTTGCCGCACCTGCATTCATGTTCATCCCAAGGCAGCAACAGCGTTCATGATGCAGACAGCGATGCAGCACCATGTGCTGCTGCTGCTAAGGGGCCAGTAGCATCAGCAACAGCAGAAGAAGAAGTAGAAGTAGAAATGGGTATTGGAGACAGAGTGGCTGCAGCGGACGGGAGGGAGGAGAAGCAGGGCTGCGGCAGCAGCGGCAGAAATGGAAGCACCAGCAAGCAATGGCAGCTCTACATGAGCCTCAGCAGCAGTTTCAAAAGCCGTCTGCCTTGTGTTGCATGTTGGAGGGCCAGCAGGTGCAGCAGCATAAGCGTAAAGGCTCTACAATTGCAGACAGCGAGCGGCAGCACCATCGCAGCTCTCTTCTTACGCCACCCTGCAGCAAACCAAACCTTGTTAGTGTCTCACCGCAGCAACAGCGACCTGGGCTTCACCTACCCCCTGCTTCTCTACCTTTGCCGTTCTCTCAACATCAATGTCATGGGCTATGAATACACAGGCTACGGATTTTGCTGCTGCCCGACCAGAAGGAGTCTCTCGGGCCAGCAACAGCATCAGCAGCAGCAGCTGCGGAGGCTTTGCAGCCCCTCCGCTGCTGCGGTACGTATGGACATTCGTGCTGCTTTCTTGTGGCTGCAGCAGCAGCAGCAGCAAACACCACACAGTGTCATCCTATACAGCGAGGGCAGGGGTCTCCTACCTGCCTTGCAGCTCCGCTCTGAGCTCGCTGCTGAAGGCCTACAGCTGGGGGGCCTCGTCTTTGTAGCACCAGCAGCGACGGCAGCAGCAGCAGCAACGTCAGCAGCACAAGTAGCAGCACAAATCAGTGGAAGGCAGAGAGGACACGACAGAGGGCTACGGAGGCTGGTCCCTTCCCGTATCCGCAAGCGACGCAGCGAGACGCACGAGGTGTATATGCAGCTGCTGCAGCTGCACATGGAAGAGCTGCTGGTGCTAGAAGGCGTCTCAGACTCGCAGCAGCTGCAGGCTGCCGACGGGAAGATACCGCAGTTGCTGCTGCGCCAGCGAGCAGCAGCTGCAGCAACCGTTGCAGAGAGAGGAGACCCCGGCTGTTGCTGCTGCGACTTTCCAAGAGGAGACAACCTACGCCGCCTCACGGCCTTCATTCAACATGCAAGAGAGCAGCAGCAACAGCCCTACGACATCGCGCTGCAGCGGCAGCTGCGCATGCAGCAGCAACTACAAAGGCAGCAGCAGCAACAAGTCGCATGGAGCAGTCTAGCCCAAACCGCACACTCCACCAGACCGCACGACGAGCAGCAGCAAGATAAGCAGCAGCAACAAAAACAGCAAGACCAGCAGCGCCACCAGCAAACTGCCGGACACCCTTGCAACGGGCGTCGACTTCCTGTATTTCCTACGGACTCTCCACGTCTGCCAGCAATAGTTAAATACAATCCTGGAAAACAGCTGGGGCAACAACAGCAGCAAAGGCAGCAGCAAAAGCATCAAATGCAGCAACAGCAGCAGCAAAAGCAGCAGCAACAACAACAGCAGCAGCTGCAGTGGCTGCAGCAGCAGCGGCAGCCGCCAAGCAAGCGACACTAGCGACGAGATGAAGAAAGCAATAGGTGCATCGGTAAACGAATTTAATTTAGTCTTTCTCCTACCCTGCCAAGTGCAGTAGCAGCAGCAGCAGGAACAGCAACAAAAGTAGCAACAACCGCAGCAGCAGATGCCACCGGGGGTGAACATTCGTTCTTTTTGCATCACCTACACCAAATATGATAATCTCTTCGTTTTCCCTGCGTGGGCAATAGAAGCATTCAAACATCTGGAAACTAATAGTATTCTTGTAGGAAGTTGCATCGCCGTATTAGGGTTTGCTGCCGGTGTCGTTCATATTCTTGCCATACTATTTGGGATCTTTTTTGACTGCCGTTGTAATGTGCTGTCTTCTTTCACGCTAGAAGGGGCCCCCCTATGTTAGTGCCCCATTTGAGCAAGTCGCAGTGATGGGTGTAGCACTAATGCATGCCTCAGCAGCAACCGTTGCAGCAGCTGCTGCTGCAGAATGCAATTGCTGACATCCGCAGGGTAGACCCTGGCCTTGTGCCGAACCAGCAATATAGCTAGCGCTCTCTGTAAAAGCTGCACTATCACCTGCTGTAGTAGGCATGTGCTGCACATACGCCCTCCGGGCTTCAAAAGGGGACAACATTAGGCAGGTTCCGCCACTTCCGCAAGGAGCTGTTGAGGCAGCAGGTTCATTTTGTCTCAACAAAACAAATCCCTCTATTTTTCTGTAGCCTGGCATACTGCAGTGCATGCTTCTTGCTCCGCTGCAGCAGCGCTGCAGAAGCACTGCATATTTATTTATTTAGAGCACTTTATTTAGAGCACTGTATTGCTGGGTTATATATGCATGGTAACAGTGGCAGTTTTTGCTGCTACAACAGCAACAGGAGAAGCAGGCACTGGGCTGAAGCAGCAGCAGCACTAGGGCCAGAATTTGCTCGAACAGTAGCTCCTGTAGCAGATTGGAACGAAATAAGATGGATTACATGCAAAAACACCAGAAGCGTCAGCACCCGATGCTAGTCTTCTGCCGCATTTGCAACAGTGAATGAGAAGCTGCAGCTGTAGCTTTGGATTGGTGCTGCAGTGCAGCTACCCTAAACCGTCGGGCGAAGATTGTTTTGGGGCTTTTGCTTTGTGGTCCCGTTCGGGTAAGGGGTGAACTGGAAGCGAATGCTGACGGTGTCTGTGAGGACCTTAATAGTAAAACTCTGAGTGGCTGAAAGGCTAACGTCTGCGGTGTAGCGCAGCCCTGCGGTTACGGTGTAAGTGTACCCCGGAGTGAGGGTGTAGGGACGAACGCTAGCCTTATTGTAGACGCCGCTGCTGCTGCTGCTGCTGCTGCTGAGGCGCAGAAGCTGGTCTGCAGTGCGGGAGTCTTGAGGACAGCTCGCCGTCCACTGGAGAGATACCCCAGGGTCAAAAGCTGTTGCAACCAGGGAGCAGTATTCAGGTGTAACGACGAGGTCTACACTTTCCCTTTTATTTATGCTGAAGGTCGTATTCGACCCCGGCAGCAAACGGGGAGCCTCTAAAGTCAGAGATAAGATTAACTTGCCCGATGCTGTGGAGAGAAAAAAGAACACAAGACAGCGGAAGTGAGTGCCTGATGCTTGATGCTGTATTAAAGTCAAGCAATGAATGCACGCACTCGTGTTCGTCCCTCAGCCTGCATAATATCTTGCATGAATGCCTGTAGATCTGAATGCATCAACATGCATGCATCTGCACACCATTTTATGCAAGCTAAATGTATATGTCTCTGCAGTTAATTGCTACAGCACGCGTAAATGCGTTACTTCGTAACAGCATTAAGACACACAGGCATACAGCTAACTCGTTTGAATGCATTCGGTTGTCACCTGTGGCTGTCTCTCCGTTGGCGTTTTTGACGGAGACGGCGAATTCTACCTCAATGCTGGTAGTACCCCGATAACGCGATATGAATTCATTAGCAGCAGCATAGACAACGTCTTTGGGGATCGTCACCTCCTCCCCATCCGCTGTTAAAAAGTAGTTTTGAAGACTCAGAGATGCTGGAGTCTTGTTCTCCCTGCAAGCAGCAATCGTGGCGTTTTTTTGACTTGCTGGAAGCGCTGGCGCTCCCAATTTCCATCGGTTTCGTGTAAATAGTACCCACTACCCAGTACCCACACCACTTTACGTTTTTGCCAGTGTCATTATTGTTATTGGAGCGACATCTACTGGCAGACACACAGCGGCAACAGTTATTGCTGCTCTAAGCGAGGCAATCTGGAGTTCCACGACATATGAGTTAGAAACGTCGTCACACTAGTAGTAATAGTGACAAAAAAATGCTGTCCCTCTTATCGGCATCAAGCTCAATAGTACTACTAGAATAGCTCTATTGTGCTTGCTGTCCTTTTCTAGGGGAGAAAAAAAGGGGGACGGGGTGAGCAGTGAAGCCCCTTGGGGTATTAATAAGGCTAGACGTAGCCTTGACTGGCGCTGCTGCTCATGGCTATTGTCACCGCTGCTTGGGTTGTTACTTGTTTTGTTCTGATTACCAATTCCAAGTTCTATTTGGGTCAGCTATTACCGGCGTTGCTCTGATTACAATGCCTAGTTCTATTGGAGTCAGCTGTTCCTATTGTGTGGAAAGGCAGCCCTGAAGATCGCGGGGGTGTACACACACTGCAAGCAACCCGACACAGAAATGCGAAAATGTAAAACTAAATATGCCCACGCTATTGCGACAAAACAAATCCATCAAACAAATGCAGAGAAACCCACCAGGTGTATGTGAGTGTGGGGTCGTTTTGGACGTTTGCTGAACACCGCAAAAAATGCCGATCCAAGGAGATACCCATGGAGAATTGACATACGGGGTTGCAAAAGAGACACGTGAAAAAGGGGTTCCAATGGAAAGGAGAGAGAAGCAAGTACATAATAAAACAGTAGACAAAGGATGTATGCATTTTTATATGCATGGCAGAGACCTCATGTGAGGCAAGTGCCACAAAAGGGAGGCATAAAGGGTGGCAAGGAAAGGGAATGGGCAAGCCAAAGCACGGCCAAGCTAGCAACGATCCAATCGACTGAAACCAAAAAACAAAAACACGAGCGTGCCAGCAACAGCCCGAACAAGAAGTGCACAATGAAGTAAGGCAGGCAGAAAGCCACCAAACAAACGGGGTGAACGAGCAAAAGCAATCAAGCGAGCCAGCAAGAAGAAAAAGAAACACACGAACAAAATAAATACAGGCAAGGCAGCAAATAGACAAGCAGGCAAGACGCATGAAGCTTACAGGCAGACCCCTTGGCGGACAGTTGGATGCTACTGCACATTCCAGAGTTGGGTGGTACCTGCAAGCAGATGCAGAAGTACACAACGTTGCCTTTCAAAAACGCCTGAAGACATTACAATTCTGACAGTACAAGAGGTGCATGCAAACAACAGATATGCGAAAAGTGCTTCAGTCTCATCAGCTACAGCTTCCCTCGTGTAGTGGATGACCTTACTGATTGCCACCTGCTGCAGCTAATGGAATATCATGACACATATTAGGAGCATTGAGATGAACAGTAGGAAAGTATTTCTTGACTATTAACAAGAGCTCGCAGACATTTCCCCCTTGTGAATACATACGACAATTTTTGCTGTAGGGGCAGTAGGAGACGGTCCGGCAGGCGATGAGTCGCCTCCCGATCCCGATCCTGATCCCGATCCTGTTCCCGATCCTGATCCCGATCCTGATCCCGATCCTGATCCAGGTGGGCTTGAGGGAGAAGTGGGTCCGGTGCTTGATGCTGCCGAAGTGGCTGTTACTCCTGAAGTGGTTGTGGTGGTTGTGGTGGTTGTGGGAAGTGCGGGGCTTGCTCTTGTACTTATTGTCACTGCTCCTTTAGCCACACCAGTTTGTGCTTCTCCGTGTTGAATGTGCCTTGACGAAAGTCCTGAGGGATCTTGCGCTTCTGCAGCATGGCGGGCTTCACCTGTCCCGCTACTCGGTTTTCTGCCAGCAGCAGCAGCAGCATCCTCGGGAGACACTTGGAAAACGGTTTCCGTTTGCCGTGTGTCTCCTGAGTTCCAAGCAGCCTAAATGAACAAAGTAGGAGAGGGAAAGAAAGTACTGCCTCGGTGCATGTATAATATGTCATCGCACAGAGAGAAACTCACGAAGTACTGATTATGCACTGCAAAAACTAGCAGAGAGATGGAAGGAGGACGTTAATTGAACTCTACTACAACTGAAGTAAGTGCAGCAGTCTCCGATAGGTGCACTTCCATATACATGTGAATATTTCGACTGCGATGGAAGAACTATGTATTATTCCAACTACACTGCATAGAACGGCTAGGGAGTGGGTCAGTCGGGATTTCTATCGGCGCATCAATTGGGTGAATATTGAGAAGCAGCTGATTTGTTGTTTCTTATGACCGTGTGTATCCATTTCAAAGTATGGAAAAGGAAGGGCATGCCGAAGCGTTTCTTATTTTTATTTTGTGTTTCTGTCGCTTGGTGTTGCCTCCTTCGCTTTTTGTATTTCCTTGTGCTTCTCATATACCCGAAATCTGCTTCTAGCGCTTACGAGCGCTTACGGTTAAGGCTTTCAACTCTCTCTTGTATGCAGGGATACACATATGTACATATATTTACGTCCATGTTCACTTCATTACTTGTCTATGCTGTCTCCCCACACGTCTGTGCCTGTCTCTCCGTTTGGACCCTCCGCAGCACTCAGGGGAGTTGCAGACCTGCCCTTTGCATCTTAGTGACATATATTTGCTGCTTTCGCGTGCTTGTCATTCAACAATCATTCTGCGTACTGATCATTTAATATTATACACCTTCCAATAGCCTCTAACTACTGTAGTTGCTACACTTCACTGCAGCTCAGCTGTAGACAACGTCGTTGCAAGTTAGAAATCTCGCTACGCATTGTAAACGACAAAGAAGGGAATCTTCTCTTTCGCCCTTTTAATAGCAGTACAAGCCCCAAAGTGCAAACACTACGGCAGAGAAGCTATTTAAAGCTTCATTGCTTCAGAGGACGCGTGGAGCTGAACTCACGAGCAAAGAAAGAAGAAAAGTTCCAACAAGTAAAAATATTCCCATTGTCCTTGTCCACCTGAACCCTAAACCCTGAATCCTAAAGCGCTCGACATCAGTAAATCCGGTTCCCCGTAACCCTGAGCACTAAAACCTATACGCTCAACTCTATATGAGCCAAGCAGATCTTGCATAATAACGTGACAGAATGACGGGGACAAACACTTTAAGCTAATGATATAAACTTCAGCAACTTATATACTCCAGGGTCCCGCTTAAGAGAGGAGGGGCCTGCACGCGGTATGCGTGCTGTAGTGCAAAAGCTGTTCCCTGATCGAACTATTTCCAAGAACCTTTTAGCTAGATAGGATCAAAAACGATTTAATATTGTCCTGTCTGTTGTCTTCAACAAAGCGAAAAAGGCGAGACACCGGGAGGCGGCACCCGACACCGTCGTGCAAGGGGGCCCAACCACTGCACCATCGGTCTCCCTACTTAACCACTACCAACGTACAACCTAACCCGAAAATTGTGAACCTTAACCCCTAAACACTAAACCCTAAACAACAAACCAGAAACCATAAGTGCAGCCTTTTGTACCTTGCTAATAGTCACTTGTAAAGGCATTCTAGGTTTACACAAACCCTTGGTTTAGGCTTTCGACGAGCAATTAGATGACCCCCAGAGTTCCATCCATGGATTCAGGTTTGTGTACGCCATAGGCCATATGCTATAGACCCTAAATCTGGTTTGCCTTTAAGAGAGGACCTATGTCCGCTGTAGCACAGTAAAAACACTTGGAACATCCACCAGGCCAAGTGCAGCCCTAACCGGCTCTCCCATTCCCAGGCCTCTTGGACACAACGAGTCGAGGGTTTGGGCCTGACTATGAGGCATAGAGGAGACAAAGCAGACAGCACGCCACAATGGCAGGAATTTTGCACCGCTTTTTGCAGCAACGAAGCCTCACATACAGGCAAAGCATACGAACCCGTTTGATGTATGCACAATCAGAGAGATCACCGCGTGTGGCTTCTGGTTTGGCTGTCAGAAGACAAGGTGCGTACAAGTAGAAATGCGACATATTATTGCAGACGAACACGTTGTGCTGCCGAACCCTGCCACGAAGTATACACCTCAGCAGGCATGCCAAGCTGTCTATCGATGTACAACGAGGCAATAATGTTAATGGGTGTCAGCTCGGCCAATGTAACTCCATTTGGTCTTACTTAGTGTACATGCAGTGAGTGTGTAGTGACTTAGATATATGCACATGTACGCGTGCGTTGTTGATACTTGTGTGAAGTCATTATCCCTACTGCGCAACACTGATCTTTGTGAGGAGCACCAGTAACTTTTTGCTGCTGTTAGCAGCTGTTTAAGTTGCAAGTTGTTTTTTAAGTCGGGCAGTTTATGAGTTGGTATGCCCGTATTGGGTGCACGAGATAACCTTGGCTGCTGTCCTTCCCTCCTGTGCAACACTAATCTTAGTGAGGAGCACGAGTAACATTTTGCTGCTGTTGTGATCGATGCTGCTGGTCTTGCTGTTTCTGCCGTTACCCTCGTTGCTGCTACTGCTGCCGCCGCTGTTGCCATTGGAGGAGAGCTGCTCGCTACTGAATGCTGATGATGCTATTGATGCTGCCACGGGATCCTACTTAACACAGCGCCTCGCAAAGATTCTACATGCTGCAACAGTAGCTACTTTTACTGCTGCAGCATGAAGTAGGAGCTCTACCACATGCAGCTGCTGCAGTGGGTTGCCAAATCCTAACTACTGCATAATTTGTATGACTATTGGTTCTTCGTATGCCTCATTCAATAGGTTTGCAACTTTTAATTCATCACGAGCACTGGTATTCTATCCCAGGACCTTCTAAAACTATTGCGCATTATTGCATGGATGCGCATGCAAGCAGCAATGAGTGCATGCATGCATGCACTCATCGATACGTACGTCATCCGATGCATGATACTCCAACCGTGTATGCATGCATGCACGCACCCGTGCATGCATGCACACACGGTTAGGATCAGGTGGGCTTAGGCTGCTCCTCCAACGTCTAAAATCATCGCCACTCCTCCTAAAACCCATTTGGCCGCGGGCATTTTGGTTCTGAGTTGTGCGTTGAAGACAAAGGTGGGGCCCCTTTGCACTGTTAAGTAAACTGGACAGATATAGGTGCTGCCGTCTTCGTTCTTCGTTTCCAGGGAAGCCTAATATTGACACCACACAAGTACACATACAGTCACCGTGAGCATTAGCAGCACTGGTATTGAAGGCTTTAAGGGTATGGTATCGTTCGAACTGCTGCTATTCTCGTCGCCGCTACTGTAGCAGCTGCTGTGACATTTGTTGTTGCTGCTTTTGCGATCGTACCCGTTGTTCTGTTGTCGTTACCGCTAATCTTGCTGGTGTTATTATTTTACCACTGCTGTGGGCACTAATACTAAGTTGGGGCAGACATACATACGTCGAGCAATCGTGTCACGCAGGTAAGTGCCCGGGTCTAGGGTTTAGGCTTTGATACCTTGCAGTGTATGACAGGCATAGGGAAGAACAGCTCCTTCGGTTTGGACTCCGCCAGACATCCTCCTTGAACATCCCACCTCGCTCCGTCGAGGACGCACCCGGTTACGAAGGCCCCTGTATGCAGGCATGCATGCATGCATGCAACGCATACCCCCACGCACGTGCACGTGCGCGTGCTTTCGACAAATCCTAGATCGCTAGAGCACAGCGCTCCAATCCGTTGGCCGTCTGCTTGCCCTTTAGTTCCTCCTCTGTTCCCATGCATGCATGCATTTTTGAGGTTCATTTACGTGCATATTCTTAGCGGGCTGTTCATAACCTGACAAGCTTTGGGCTTTGGTATTGGGGTTAATGAATACGCTGCTGACCTTCTCTGGCGGGGGCGTCTATGGAGGCGACGTCTTTCTTCGTGACAGTGGTGAGCACGTTGAGTTTGTTGAGCTCTAAATGGTGTTGTTGAGAGCAGACTTCCTTAATAGCAGTTAAAAAGGACTGCGGGCTGAAGAGACGTGCGAGATTGACTACCTTGGGAGTTGCACTTGGTTCCTTCGTCCACTCTGACAAGTGTTCAAAGCGCTGCTTCACATCGGCTATCCAAGAACCCAGTGGCCTGCAAGAAGCAAACGAAACCTGAAGAGGCAAAGAAAAAGAAAAGGCAAGCTAGGGCTCCCGTTTGTAGTGGTTGTTGTCTTACATGCACAGTTGTGATTGCAGACCTAGCCATGCTAGAAATAAGGGGAATACGAATAAGTCACAACATTCATAGCTATAGTATGCCAATGGTATAATATTGTATGACACTAATACAATAGAAGAGGCAATCACCTTAATGACTATGACGGCCATAATATTGTAACGACAGTAAGAATAACACTACGCACGGTTATTTAGAGTGAAGAACATTCGTGCAATAGATAGAATAAAGCGGCATCACAAAAGCTCCTGTGAAACAGGACAAGCTGTTGTAAAATGCAGGAGGTAACAAAACCAGGACCCGTTTTGTGAGGAAGAACCTGAAAGGGGCGACTAAAGAGCTAAGGTCTGAGCGTTAATGGTTCAGGAGAGCGGAACTGTCTCAGCGGACGAGCAATTGAAGAAAAATCAGAGCAAAGTAAGAGTAGCCCTACAGCCTAATAAGAGCACAAGCCACTACTGTAGTCGGCTTAAATCAGATAAAAATGCAGGAAACAAACCTTCATCCACGCGGCAGGCACCCTATTCATGCGGATGTCTTCGACAAGTTTTTCCATTGAAGCAGAAAAAGTCAATTCTCCTTTGAATCCGAGTTCAACTTCAACTAGAGAGCGGCTTATCTCCTTAATTAGCACGTTCATGCATTGACACTCCTAAAGAACAGGTAGGAGTCACAAAAAAATAATTGCAGAACAGGAAAATACAAAAGTGCCACAGGCAACGAACTGCCACCCGTCCCCTACCCCCATTTGCAGCGTGCGTACACCCTACAGAGCGGGCAGAGTGAAGAGTAAGTCTTAAAACTATGCACCCTCAGCCCGTTCTGACCTGCAAAAATACGTGTTGGTAGGGTCCCTTTTCCTCATCAGGAATAGCTTGGCTTATCTCCTCTACGTCAAAACGCGCGTCTCCCAGTTCGTCGAGAATCTCCTTGCAGAGCTGAACGCATATGCAGATACACATTAGGGCCTAGGGGTTAGGGCTTGTACAAGCTGAAAGGTACTCAGCAAGACAAAATTTTCACAGCACCTCTTTCAAAAGGTCCACACAGGTCCTGCGTTCCAACCCCGTAATCTAAACCCAAGACAGACGCAAACCTAATCACTGCTAAATCCTACCCAGCTCCCAAAATCCCAAACCACAGCTTGCCTACTCCATGAACCGTAAATCGTGGACTGTATGCTACCCAGAATTCTTAACAACAGAAGCTGAAACTGTAGGCTTTAGAACGTAAACCCCTTGCTCAAACATTATCCCCCCATGAACACTGAACTCTAAAATTTCAACTGCCCAAAAGCTAAACACCAATCTGACCGCTTCGCCGTCGTTTTCACCGCCTCCTTTGCTTGCTGTTCCTCCAGCAGATGCTCCTTCTGACTCCAAAAGGGTTTTGAACAAATCTTCGCACTGCTGCGTTCTGTAGCCAATCTCCGTGTTAGGGTGGAGGCCAAAGGCCAAAGGCGTCTCAGGTGGCATCGAAGCTACACACTCCATGTACCTACGCAAGTGTATATATATATATATATATA